GCCCGCTCGTACGGCACATCCGACGCCGAGAGCTGCCGAAGCAACGCCAGCTTATCGGAAGCCGCACCCTCAGCGCCCGCAGCGCGCCCCAGCTCCACCACCTTGCGCCACCGTTCCTTCCGGCTCAGCTTTTCCAGGCGGCTCAAAAACACATCGCTGCTTGACGACTCCCCCAACCCTTTCTCTGTCGTTTTCTTCGCCGCTTTTGTGGGCGTTTCCCTTGAAATCTTCGTTGGCGTTCCCCTTGAAGTCTTCGTTGGCGTTTTTACTGCCGCTTTCTTCGGCACTGACACCTTCTCTTTTGCCGGCTTGCCGGGCGTCGTGGGAGTTGTCTGCCGCATGATTCCCCCGCCTTGCTTTGGACGCAGCAACCTGACCAATCGCGCAAACAACAACTTTGTGCGCACGCGCAAACAAAAGAGATGGCAGGAACGGAAAAAAGAAACAAAAGCGAGATGGAGCTACAAACGCCTGAGCGCAACAGCATAAGCGAAAAAAAAAAAAAAAGATGCACACCTCCCGCCGGCGCCCGGCCACACGCGCCATCGCCGCCCCGCAGTGGCACCCCGTCACCGTCGGGGCGGGGAAAACACCAAACGGCGGCGGATCGCCGCAACGACGACTCAAAAAACGAGGAAGTCCTCTCGTCCCGTGTAGCGCCTCGCAAACAGCTTTCCAAGCGCCGTCGGCTCGGAGAACGCAACATGCTCAGAGGGGACCTCAAAGCCGTACGAAACACGCTGGCGGGCCAATTCAACCATCGCTCTGCCGACGCCACGGCGGCGGTGCGGCTCCGCCACCCAAAAAAAATGCACCCCGCAGAATGAGGACCCCACGCACCAGGCGTCGCCCACCTCCGCCGCCCTCAGTTCCCAGCGCCCCGCCGCACGCTCGCGAGATCGGTGAGACGCGCCCCCGCCAACACTCGGCTCGCAGTGCATACGGTACGCCCTACCCAGCTCGCCAGCCACACACAGTCCGACCACTTCGCACCACGGACGCGACGCATTGCTGACGCGCACAGAGGAGGAGCGGTGGGTACTGCGGCGGCGTACCGCAGTCTGTGTTGTTTTTGTGCCGGTCGCAAAGGCCGCAATTAGCAGCGAGTCCGTCGGAATCTCGTCCACCGCACCCAAGGCGCGCCGGGCCCCGTCGAGAGCCTTCCCCAGCGCCTGCCGCAATGGTGCCTTACACACCAGCTCACGCGCTGTCCGTGGCGGACCCGCATTCTGCCCGGGTGCTGATGACGCGTGCCGGAAGAAGCCTGGTATCACGGCGTACGTGAGCGGCGCGGCAAACAAACTTCCTGCAGCAGCTACGCCTGCGCCATCAACACGGCGAGGAGGACACCCGTCCTGCAACTGGCAAGGCGGGCACAAAAGCCACCGCAACAACTTCCCGCCAGGCAGCCGAAAGGCGCACACCGGCTCACACGAATCTGCAGCCGCATTCACATCCTCAGCGTCTGTCTGTGGCGGCGGCAGCGGCCATCGCTTTCGCTTTACCCCAGAACCGCCTCCCACCAACGCCGATGCAGTGGTTTGCGGCGCCGCCCGCATGAATGTGGACCCCAAGAGAAGCAATTGAGGCGGCAAACACAGAAGAAACCTAAAAAAAAGCACAGACACCAGCTGACAGCGCTTCGCACACACACACACACGTACGGCAGGGTGCACCCACAGACATACACACAGTACTTCTCCCTGAGGGGAAACCCCGCGTGTTGATTCTACGCGGCAGCCCAAGGGAAACCCGCGGAAGCAAAGCATGCACACACTGGCGCCACCGCACCACAGCTGCAAAGCAAAACAAACACATTCACAAACAAACCCAACAAACAAAAACAAAGATAAAACGCTGTGAACAAACCCATACGCACCGAGAAAGGAACAAACACAAAAATCGGTGTGCCGACAAGAAGCCTGAGGGGCCAACGCAAAATAATTGCACTTAGATTCGTTGAGCGTAGAGGTGACGGGCCGTTTGACTCCTGGCGAGACCGGGTCGTCGCCGAGGTGTTGTAATGCTACCGAGGTGCGGGTTAGGCCCTCCGCCTCCCCGCCGAGTTGCCGAAACCACTCTGCTCCGGCCGGGACATGTCGGACACGCCCGCCGTCTGCTGCTGCTTCCCGCCTTGCCTCGGGAAAAACCTCCCACGTGAGAGCGCATAAACAGGCCGTTCTGCGGGCACCACGAAGCGGAAGAAACTCAAGCCGTCGGCATGGTGCCCGCACTTTTTGTGCGTTGCTGCTTTCTCTGCACCCAACGCCTCCCGACCACATGCAGCAGCGGCGCGCGTGGTCCTGAGCCGCCGGACTCTCAAGAGGACCTCCACTGCGCCGTACGCAGCGCCAGCCGGCCAAAGTGGCGAAGTGCATCCGCCTCGCACGAGCATTGCTGCACACAAACGGAATGAGGTGGGAGACCAAATTGATAACAAAACAAAACAAACAAAAAAAAGAGGGTTGGATCCGCCGCAGTCACACCTTCCAGCAAATAGAGGAGTAAAAGAAAAAAATGAACTGCAGAGCAAGAAACACCACCACCGCCCTCCACGCTATCCCTCACTGCGGCGGCAACGTTACCAGGACAGCAAAGAGGGAATCCAATAACTTCAATGGCACACATGCGCACGCACAGCAAGCCACAAAGAAGGCGGCGTCACGATGACCCCAAAAACAAAGACCCAAGCACGGAAGCTGTTGGCCCACTCGTGTCGCACAGCGGTAGCGGCAACCCTGCGTGGTGCACCGTGAACGGTGTGGGAGGGGGCTGACTCCCACTCGGAAGGGTGCGACACGCAGCCACAGAGAGCTGCGGACGGTACAACACGCGGAGCTCCCGTACCAACCGCATCACCTCCGCGTCGCGGCTCACGTGGGCCTCGGGATTTGTGAGAGGCACCTCACCACACACAGCGCACACCACCTCCTCTCCGAGGACCGACG